GGTAACATGTAACTGATCCAACTGGTCTGAGGCCAGGGAAATGCTTGCAAGTGCACAGGGACCCTATTTCACATCCCTTGCGCTTGTAATACATCATCTAGACACTATGACAATTTTGCCTCCAACTTCAGACACATCAGTAGAGCAACCGTAGTCTGCAGGGGTGCTATGTGCTGGTAGTCTCCATGACCTCCAGTAGAAATTGTTTAGCTGAAAAGCAGCAGCAGAGAACAAGTCTGCCCCAAACAACTGTCTCTCTCTCCACTACCATGAAGACTACAAAGCCTTCGCTACTCTATATATAAATAAGAGTTTGGTCCTTCCTTTCCCCATTCTGCTGAATACAGGTCACTACTTTTTCAAAATCTTCAGACAAGCAGATGCAACCTACTGCACTCATTTTACTCTGGCAACAGGACAGTGGCTCATCTCGTTGCCTGAGGACCCTGCCAGATGGCATCCAGTTATCATACCACTTGCCACTCAGACTCCAGCCTGTCTATGGCAGCAGAGCCAGGGAGCTGCTATGCCCACTCAGCCTCTGGCTGTCACATTTTCACATTGTGAAGGTTATTACCAGTAGAAGCAACTTAAAGCAGCTGTGAAGAGCTCAGCATTCAGTTTCCAGCACCAGTTCAGAAAATCAGGGGTGCTGCATTAGACTGACTTAAAACTTTCTCTTGCCTATCCAGAACAGCACTTGGTCATAAAGGACATCTCTCACTACTCTTTCTACAATAAGCATGTCTTTGCCTTCATCTTGGCTTTCCCAGCATTTAATCTAAAATTGCCTACACCAGTCTTTCGAATCTCATGAATTCTATTAATTTAAACAAACATGCTCATTTTTTTCAGAAAATACACATTTCAGTATACATGCAACCCCAAAAATGGGTTAAAGAACAACTAGACAACACCATCTTACTCATGCAAGTTGTTGAGAAGTGAAATCACCATCACTCCATTATTTCCACACCTTAAGTGGATAGAAGACAGACAGGAAGGTTATGCTTCTCTGAGCTTTTTCATTCACTGTGTTTATGAATCCCTAAGGCCTCCCTTGCTCAGTAAGAATTTACTGAAGTGATGTGGCGATTTTTGTTAAGACACGTGCTTTTTAAAATAATGCATAAATTCAAGCATACATACAGTAATGAGCCTAAGCGGCTGGCTCAACATTCAGACAGATCAATTGTGAAAAATGACAGTCACCATTTGGCAATTTTTTGGCTGACAGAGGAAGAAAATAGTTTGAATTTCAACTTGATTGACTTAACCTGAAGAAGACTAATATAAAAAAATAAAAGTAACACTAGTCAAATACAGTATGGAATAGAGGGCAAGATAGGATTTTACAGCACTTTTAAGAGCATCAGAGTTTTCAAATCCTGAAACTTGTTCTACCAAAAAAAAGACCAAAGTTTCCAGCACTTACAGGTTGATAAAACTGTTCCTGTCGTACCCAGAATTTATGAGGATGATTTGCTGTACTGCAGAACAAGTAACGCTGCAGGATGTGAGATTTCATTACAAAAAAATAAGATCAGGAATTGGCTGTGAGTGAGACAGGTGAGAACAGATCTTTTACCTATAAAAGCTCAAGTGTACTCTTCAGTCTAGACAGACAACACTGTTTTCTCACCAGTTCTTTCTGCTACATTGGAGCACTTGCTTTTAAATTAACTCTGTCCTGCTATCAAGCTGCAAAGCAGTATAAAAATGTATGCCACATCTCCCATTAGCAAGATGACGCATTGCAGAGTATACAACAGGAATCCTCAGGGAATACTTCGGGATTAGAAGTGAAATACTGCACAGATGGGATTGTTGGGTAAGGGAATTCCCTCTGCCCCATATAGGGCTGAGAACATTTAGAGCTCTTACATCAATAGGCAAGATCAGGCCATTTTACCTCGTAAATATTTAAAGTACAGGCAAAAAGACATGACAGACTTGAAAATCTGAAAAGCTAGGACAGTTAGAGATACAGATACTTCTGTTGCTCCTTTTTTCTCTTAAGTACCAAATATTTAGTATCTTCTAGGGAAGCTGAAGAGGTATGCAAATATACAAGGAGAAGAACAGAGTTACGCAAATTGTTAGAAGCCAAAGATCAGGTACTATTTCTCACCTCCATACTAACCTAAGATTGAATCACAGTTACTATCTGGACACACTCACTCTCTCACCTATCAGCAGTTAAAATCTAGATTTGCTCTCTGGCAGATTACTAGAGCTACCGCATTGTCTGCTGTTGAGAAACAAGTTACACAACCTATAAAGCCAATAATGCTCCCAGATGAGTCCTGTGAGTGTTTATGGGAAGATACTGCACCTTTCCATCATAGCCTATCTAGTCATTGTCCTCAGCACCAAGAGATCAGGTATCCAGAGGATTTGCAAAGGCACAGAGGGCAGCAACGTGCTAACTCAGCTGAATGCCAAGGGGAGCTGGCCCTGACTTGTAAACCCGCCATCTGACATAGACCAATGCAAGGTATTAGCACCATGGCACCAAGCTCATTGTTCAAGTATTCCACTGGTAGCTTTGGGTGTTTTTAAATATGGTTGAGTCCAGCCATCATTTTCATACTTGTAGTGAGATTCTGAAATGCTTTTACTGAACTCCTATAGGAACCTGGAAGCCTTTCTCTCATTTAACACCTCTCTTCGGCTTCCTGCTAATCTAACATGCTTTGTCAAAGTTTCAATGTCTCCTTTTCATTATAAATCATGAGATAACTGTGGAGTTCCAGAACAGAGCCAGAGTTTGCAAGGTCCCACCAAGTATACCCCTGGTGACTCACAGTGGGGTCACTGCTGACCAACATTTGCCTAGGGTATTCCACAGATGCCCAGTGACACTAGCACCAAACAACCTCCTCAGGCAATCTTTATCCAGTGTGCCACTAACCTTATTTTTTTGCCTCTTAATAGAGGACATGAACCTGTGCTGCTGCAACTGGAACCCATCACATCTTGTCACACACATCACAGATAAAATTAACCCCTTATTTTAAGAGCTTTTGTTTCTTTCTTGGACTTCTCTCTCTCTTTTAAGGTAAAAAATTCAATTCTTTCAGTCTCTCCACAGACCTGCTTACTACACCCTTAGCCATCCTTGACGCTCTTTATTACACCTTCTCTTGTTGTTCCACCATTCTCTTGAATTATACTACGTAACAGACAGCCTTCCAAGATAAGGTTTTGCTTATGCTCATAGAAGTGAAGGAATCCCAAACACAAATACAGGCTGGGCGGAAAATGGCTTGAGAGCAGTCCCAAGGAGAAGGACTTAGGGGTGTCAGTCGACAAAAAACTCAACGTGAGCTGGCAATGTGCACTTGCAGCCCGGAAGGCCAACCTCATCCTGGGCTGCATCACAAGAAGTATGGCCAGCAGGCCAAGGGAGGCGATTCTGCCCTTCTACTCTGCTCTTGTGAGACCCCACCTGTGTCCAGTTCTGGGGCCTCCAACACAAAAAGGACATGGAGCTGCTGGAGCGGGTCCAGAGGAGGGCCACAAAGCTGATCAGAGGGCTGGAGCACCACCCCCTCCATGAAGAATGGCTGAGAGAGCTGGGGCTATTCAGCCTGAAGAAGAGAAGGCTGCAAGATCTTATTGCGGGCTTCCAGTTCCCTAAAGGGGGCCTACAGGAAAGCTGAAGAGGGACTTTTTACCAGGGCAGGTAGCAATAGGACAAGGGGGAATGGTTTTAAACAGGAAGAGGGTAGATTTAGACTACTAGATATTAGGAAGAAATTCTTCACTGTGAGGGTGGTGAGACACTGGCACAGGTTGCCCAGGGAAGTTGTGGATGTCCCCTCCCTGGAAGTGTTCAAAGCCAGGTTGGACAGGGCTTTGAGCAACCTGGTCCAGTGGGAGGTGTCCCTGCCCGTGGCAGGGGGGTTGGACTGGATGAGCTTTAAGATCCCTTCAAACCCAAACCATTCTATGATTCTAAGGAATCCCTTCAGACATCTTCCAAGCTTTACTGCCACTTATACATCACAACATGACAACTTCTTTGCAAAAGCATGCCACTATATTAATCTCCAACTTCCACTCCTGAGTCACTGTTTCCAATGCAGCTTAAAGACATTAAAGGACCAGTAGTAAGTTATCATTTGGCAGATGACTGCTAGGTGGTGACCTCTGCCCAGTTTCCACATGGATTCCCCTACTCTCGGTCGGCATAAAATATCAGATCACGTTAAGCAGTATACTACTGCAGAGCATTAATCTGCTCACACCTCCTAAAAGTGTAGGTGGGGACCCACAGAATGAACAGGCTAAATTTTGTACCATCCTCACTTCCTGCAGGAAGTCTATTCTTTTAAGACTAATAAAGAAAAGCTCACGCTGCTTCTGCCTATCTTCTGCAACCAGACTTCAGTCATCTCAGTGGTTAACCAGTAACTTTAACAAATAGTATATGAACTAAAAAAAAAAAATCCCAACCTTATGCTTAAACACCTGCCCATGCAAGCATTCACACAATTTCTTATTCTACAATATCTTTTGCACCAAGCACTTAAAATATATTAATCCTCACAAGCTCTCTATGAAAAACCATTAACATTTCCTGGATCAGTTGGAGAAATCACAGCTTAAAGAAAGGTTAAGCCAACTGCCCAAAGGCAGAGTGAGTTCATGACAGTTTTAGGTATCAGTATCTTTCCTATACTAAGCACATTTATGTTGAGCCTGCACAGAACAGACAGCAGCATTACACTTTTCAGTACACAACTATGCACAAAATCCATTTTCTCCTTGGTAATAAGAAGAAAACGCTCCATGGAAAGGACAGTATTCAATACCAGATGCACATACCTGATCACAAAGTGTAATCAGAGTCTAAAAGGAGAGCACTTTTCTACATAGCTGTCTGATGGCACCTACTCCCAAAGAATACATGACTGCCCATTCGAACTAGTAAGCTAGATACATTCTGTTGGAGGAAAACGCACCCTTTCCAACTCCTTTGGTTTGAACCTTACCTTTCCACAAGCCACCATGGAGAGGGCAAGCTGGTACCAGAGGTGAAATTCATCAAATGCAAACTTCATGGCTCTCTCCAAGCACTAAGAAATAAATATTGGGAGAAATCTCAGAATTATTTTTTTTTTTTTTACTTTAAAAAAAAATAATTCATTTTAATATCTTCTGTCAAGACTGCTGCTGGGCTCAGTAATCAACTCAGTGGAAGCAATCTGTTGTGACCTAGGTGATTTTTTTTTTATGACATCATTACCCTCTTCTCAGTTAATGGGGCTTGCTAGCATACACCGTGACTTCAAATGATGGCCACTTTGTTCAAGTCCCTACAAATATATTACTTTAATGTCTCAAACAGTTCTGTGTACATTTCTGGCCTATGCTGCCATAGGTCTGTAGCTGTTTCTACTAATTGCCAACTAAAGTCCTTCATTTTCACCTTCCTCAAGTTACTGCAAAGAGGGGCTTTTGCTTGCACATGTCAAGTGGAAGATTCAGCAGAAGGCAGGAAGAGGTACCTCGGAAAGCATGACATACTGCCCTCTTCTGCCCAGTGTGATGGTGAGGAGGTCATAGACTGCAGAAGTATCCTGGAGGCTGACAGCTCGGTCATTCTGCTGGTCTGGGGCTCGGCTGATCACTGCGTCCCGGTTTGCCTGGGCACAGACACAAATAGAACATCAGACCACATAGAGAACCAATTCCTCCATAGGAAGTTTTGCCCATAATCCATTGCATTTTGTTTAAAATAATCTCAAGATTTTATTAAGGGTGGTGCTTCTTTATGTTTTCACAGAGTCACTTTTTATCCACATGAAGCAAACTCAAGAAGATAGTTGTATGTACAGAAAGGAACTGCTGGGAACACCTTGTTTGGATTTACTTCACAAAATTAGAGCATTAGGAGCCAGACCTACCAGATCCCATTTCCTCAATAATTATAAATCCAAGGCCATCCTTAAACCGCATTCCTTATTATTTCAGTTGCCTGCAACTGTGATAACAGGTTCCATAGTTGACATTTTATCTTCTGTGTCTGTCCTTGATTTCTTTCCAGTAGCTTTATTTCTAAATTTGAGCAGGTTGCCTTAGTAATCAGATTTGTCTGTCATCATTTTAATGCAATTAGAGGTCTGGGCAACACAGTAACAAATAATTAAAAAAAAAATCTTGTAAGTGTTTATTTCGCATAATCTATCAGTACATAGCTCAGCCTAGATCAAAAAGAAACATTACTTTCGACAGTTGAGCAATGTGCAAGGATATCCCAAAATACCATATGCCATAGACTCAGATTTACCTCAAAATCCCAGCCTCTCTGTTTTCTGAGCACAAAGAGAGATTTCAATTCCAGAGAAAACCAAAAATTCTCTCTGATTTCCAAACACAGAAGACTTCACCCAGATTGCCTAACCTCTGAGAGAGGCAGTGCTGGATGCCACTGAGTACCAGCACTGACTGATGGCACAGATATGCTGCCCTGGGCTCCTCAGCTCAAAGGGGTGCAACATCAGACATTCAGGTCTAGACATCTAAAAGATGAGAAAAATTAGAAGACTGCCAGTAGTTTCACCTGGGGCAAAAACAAACAAAATGTTCCCTCTCTGAAGCAGGGAGGTTATGAGATCTATTTTATAATACTTCCTACTACAATCTTACATCTATTTCTTTCTAATTGCAGGGAGATTTTTTTTTCCCTAAAAAGGTTAAACATGGGAATTAAGTGTAATAAAAATTTCCAGAATATGCAGCCCTTAAAGCCCACGCATATTTCATTATGATTAGGCTGCACCTGTTTCATCATGATATTATCTGTGTAATGCCCCAGTTCCAAGCGCTCTTCATCACAGCCTCCAGCCGAGACAGCAAACACAATTACTGACAACTAACACAATCACAACCGAGAGCTAAATGGCGACTGCAGTTAAAGGCAAACTGACAGGTCAGTCTCAGTCTAGTGTTTGCACAAATAAACTTACACCAACTCTTGTAGCCACAACAGTATTTCTTTTTCATGTTACTGCAAAAGACATAATCTGTGATTTAAAAAAAAAAATTAATAAAACCAGTAAGTTGCATGAGAGAACGAAACCAACTTCAAAGAGAAGATTCTGCAACCAGAGTACAGAAGCATAGCTTGTCTACCTTTATCAGCAGAACTAAACAAGAATTAAAAAATAAATAGCTGTTTAAAGTCTGTTTGGATTTAACCTAAGACCACTACTTTAAAAGGAAAAAAAAGAGTTAAAGTAAAGGCATATACAGAACAATTCTGAGATTGTTACTTCAGAGTTAATGACAACGCATATACAGAACGATCCTTATTGCCAACTGAATCCTCCTACATATATACAACAGTGCTAACAATTTTTTTCTGCACTGGTTACACTGTTGTGACAATTGTTTGTAGAAAATAGCTACTGAGATAGCACCCCCATGCTCTGTAATCTCACCACCTCCCATAGAGTCAGCTACAGTCTAATGGTTTTTTTTGGGTATCCATCTAGTACCAAGCTATGATTTTTACGTTGATGCATTAGGACAGATGGAAAATTAATCAGAACTGGTGAGTGTCTATTAACATCTACTAACAGATTTCAGTACTTGAGGGAAAACATGCCCAAATCCTGCAATAAGCAGAAATAAGATGTATTACAAGGATGACATAAAATTGCAGTCATACTGCACATATTGTACATTTCGTACTTTACCTAAGCAGACAGCAGTTAAAAATGACATATGCATATGCATGATTAATATTCTTTCCAAGAAGGTCATAAACCTGCTTATTTTGTTCAAGCTCTCAAATCTCAAAGCCACAGAAAGTCTCTGCAATCTATCACTTTCTATACTTGCATGCATAAAATTTGCCACTGGGCAAATTCATCATCACTTCTAGCCGAACAATTTTTTAAATACTGAACCTATTTCCAATTGCTAATTCCAGCTGCTCAAAAAAAAAAAATCAAGTAGTTCCTCCATTAGCACAGAAATATACAGGAGGGCAGAGGAGGGAATGTGAATCACTATTTCTTGAAACGCACACAGAGAAATTGGCATGTTTCCACGCCCTGCCTCTCACAGAAGGAAGGGTGCCATGACCCTGATCACCATTAGTCAGTTTTTGTCTACCTTTGCCTACGTAAACTTCAGTTTGGCAGTGAGAAATCCTGACAGTCACTGGCAAGTACCAGTGCAAAATAGTTGTAGAGTTACTGCAATGCAGCATACATTGATTCTGTTGTATGGGGAATCTTGTTTACTGAAACTTATATGGAGATATTTCATTTTACATTTGAGGATGCATAAATTCTAAGCCGTTTACACCAACATTTATTCAATTCCTGTGTTTCTGTTGCTTCAGACCAGTGATTTTCCTGAGCACAATGGAAAACGGGTTATTTGTAGAACACTGATCTCCATAGAGTGTATCAATAACATAAGCAGCAATTCTCAATTTGTCCTACCTGATTACTTCCTCCTCCTCCACTATAAGCAGCAGTAAAACATAGCCAGAAATATATTTTCAACAACTCCAGCATGACTCTTCCCTTTAAGGTGTTCCCATTGTCACACAGACATGTCTTACAGCACACAGGCAGGATGGAGAGAGATGGGGAGTCACACTATTAAAAGCAGAGAGCCTCTGTTCAAGGCTGTTGTGTGGGATGGAGAAGGTCACTAATGCTACCAATAGAAGTTAGCTTAACTTGCATTATACAGAGCAAAAATATACAGTCAATGCCCCTTTATTTGAGGTACTCCTAGGTAATGGAGCAACTCAGAGATGCATCACCCAGCGCCCAGCCACTGCAATGTCTCTGTATCATGCTTGAAGCCAAACTCAGGCATTCAGCCTGACCAGGCATGGAATTGGCAGGAGGGTCAGCAGGCTCCAAACCGCAGCAATACAGCAGTATGGGACCTTCAGAACCATGCTGGCTCTGACAGCAGGGAAAAGATCTGCCTTCAGCAGGCTCCAAACCGCAGCAATACAGCAGTATGGGACCTTCAGAACCATGCTGGCTCTGACAGCAGGGAAAAGATCTGCCTTTCCATAGGCAGCTGGGAGAAGCTTCGCAATTGCTTCCCCCTGTACTTGTAGGGGACTTCAACTTCCTGGATATCTGCTGGAAATATAACACAGCAGAGAGGGAACAGTCCTGGAGGTTCCTAGAGTGTGGAAGATAACTTCCTGACACAGCTGGTGAAGGAGCCCACAAGGAAAGGTGCCCTGCTGGACCTGGTGTTTGCAAACAGAGAAGGTCTTGTGGGGGATGTGATGGTTGAAGGCTGCCTTGGGCATAGTGATCATGAAATGATACAGTTTTCAGTCCTTGGAGAAGCAAGGAGGGGGGCCAGCAGAACTGCCACTTTGGACTTCCAGCAGGCAGACTTTGGTCTGTTTAGGGACTTGGTTGGCAGAGTTCCTTGGGAGGCAGTTCTGAAAGGCAAAGGAGTCCAGGAAGGCTGGACACTCTTCAAGAAGGAACTCTTTAAAGGCGCAGGAACAGGCCGTCCCCACGTGTCAGAAAACAAGCTGGAGGGGAAGACGACCAGCCTGACTGAACAGAGAGCTCTGGCTGGAGCTCAGGAAAAATAAGAGAGTTTATGATCTTTGGAAGAAGGGGCTGGCATCTCAGGAGGAGTACAAGGCTACCATAACGCTGTGCAGGGAGAAAATTAGAAGGGCTAAAGTGCAGCTGGAACTTAATCTAGCTAGTGCTGTTGAAGACAATAAAAAGGGTTTGTATAAATACATTGGCAACAAAAGGAGAACTAAGGAGAGTCTCCCCCCTCTAG